TTCGACTTTTATTATTTGGGCTGACTTGGTCCCCGGCAATATCCCGGACGGTGTTCCATCTTTATTTTTGGACCCCCTTGCGCTTGGTGGTCCCAACATCTCTCCCTTAGGTGCCACATGTATGCCGATTTTTCTAGGTCGTGAGATCTCATCTCACGGTTGCCGTCTACCGTCTCCACTTGCCTCATGCTGAAATTACTCCTTTCTAGCCTTTCAGGCTTGCCATGGTTCATTTTCCCTTAACCTAGGCACCCCCATGCAGTCCGTTATTTCTTGGACTGGAGTCATTGTCATTTTCTTAGTCCCACAACCCCACAACTTGCCCCATGTTAAAAGAAAATGAAGCATTTGACTTCTAAGAACACCCGGGCTCAATATTGGCTCCGGATGCACCTAAAACATATGTTTTTTCTTTCCCATGCAGTCCATTGCAACTCGGACTGCAATAGGGATCAATTCCGTAGCCCCAATGCCCCACAACTAGCCCTTAATTGAAAGAAAAAAAAAACGGCCAACTTCCAAGTGCATCCGGACTCAATTTTGGCCCCGGATGCACCTAGAACATGTGTTTCTTTTCCCCTATGTAATCCGTTTTATTTCGGTTGCATGGGGCTTTGATTTTCTTTGATTTTCTCTGCAAAATCATAAAAAATCAAAGTCCATTGCAACCGCCATATTCCAGAATGAATCTGGTCACGGATGTATCTCCCCAAGTGACCGTTTTTTACCGTTAAGACTTTTTTCTCTTTTCTTTTCTTTTCTCTTTTCTTTTCTTTTATTTTTCCTTCTTTCTTGGACAGTAGGGACCTGCCAGTCCCTACTTGTGGCAGTCCCTATTGACGGCCAACTCACTCACTCCCTCTCACTTTTTTTGTCTTATTCTCCCACATTTTTTTTTCTTTTTTTTCTTTTTTCCTAGCATGTCAAGCGTCAAGTGGCCGTTAAGGCCCTTTTTTAGCACCTTTCTCTTAGTTTTGGCCCTTCCTATGCCCAAGGTGCAGTCCGTTATATTTCGGACTGCAATAGTGGCCTTCCCATGCCCATGAGAGCTTCTTTTTCCCTCTATTTTCCTCCCACGGTGGCCCTTTTTGCTCCGATTTTCTCCCGGAGGCCTATTTCTCTCATGGGGTCTCTTTTGACTCTATTTTCTTGAGGGAGGCTGATCCGAGATTTTTCGGATTGCTCCCATGCCTCCCACTTCAAGTTTCTTTACTTTTTCTTTTCCTTTTGGCCTTCCCGTTTGCTACCACTAGTGCTTGCACTAGTGGTGCTAATATTCTCGGCCGTCAAGATCGATCTTGACGGTGCACCTTGTCTTTATTAATTTTCCCTCATGAAGTGCCGCCATTTCCTCTTGAGACGTTCATGTGTCCCCGCCACTCGTCCCGTTGGTGGTCCCGGACACTCAGTCCCGCCGGCGGTCCCTGACACTTGGTCTCGCCAGTGGTCCCCGGTACTTAGCCCCGTCGGTGATCCCCGACACTTAGTCCCACCAGTGGTTCCCGACACATTTTGCCCCGGATGCCATTATTTTTACTTAGTCCCACGTGGCCCCGGGTACCTTTCCCCAAGGTGTCCCACGTTCCTTGGGCGTTTTGCCGCCCCACGGTGACCCCTCTCCCTTGTCTTTCTTGCGCCTTGCTCGTGCCGGTTCCTTTGGTCGCAGTGCCTTCAACCCGAGGCTCCCGTAGGTAGCCCCCATGTTGGACCCTTATTCTCTAGCTTCCCATGGTCACCGGGGCCGTCCATCTCTCGACTTCCTCATTTTTTTGTCGCTGCCGTGCCGCGTTTGCTGGTTCAAGGGCCCCTTGACCTTAGTCTTGTTGAATTCCAACAGCCCTCCCGGCCTCATGCTATGTTCTATGTTCCCCTGTTCTTGTGCTTACTTGTTTGCCGTCGCTGGTTCTTTCCTCCTGTGGTTCTCACCCCAGGACATCATTTCCTCCGATGGCCTAATCCTTTGTCTTTTCTCTATCTTACCTCCTCACTCCAGATTTTTTTTTCGTGCACAATTTGTCTATATTCAGTCTCTCGAGTGATGGGAAGTTATTTGGGACCCACCAGTCCCGACACCAGTTCCTCTTTGTTGATTTTTGCACCCCGTACTTGGGCTTCATTCCTTGGTCATTACCCAGAACAGAACGGACATGTTTGTTGGTGTGGCTGTGGGTGTTATGCCCTTGATGCTATCCGAGGCCAATTTATTCCATGTCGTACCAGGTTTAGTCAGTAGTTTGATTATCCATTTAACTTGCAAGCCTTTGGTTTCCTGTTTGGGGTCTATGATACCAAGACCTCCTTTGGCTGGTTTCCTTGTGATGTAATGCCAAGTTATCTTTGGTATGAAGTTCTCTTTGTTGGGGTTTCCCGACCACAAGTATGCTCTTACTTTACGGTTAAGTTCCTTGATTGTATGGTCTGGAACTGTGCAGATTGATGCTATATACCACATCATTGAGAAAATTGATGTATTGATGGTTAGTGCACGACCCAACAATGATGTGAATGTGTTACCCCATCTGCCCAGTTTGTGAATTTGTTTTGTGAGTATATTTTGGGCCATCTGAGGGGCAAAGTCGTCCTTTGTCAGCCAGATGCCTAGATATCGCTTATGCGCTGACTTTTTTTACTTAGGTCAATTCTCGCATTTTCTGGGATCATTTGTTATAATCGGCTTTGTATAAATCTTTGTAAGCTACTTTTCCTACAAGAAGCGCTGCAGAAATTTCGACCAACCAAGGAGTTAGTCACATCTGACTTTCAAAGTTCAACTTTTTGTCTTAGCTTTATATCTGGCTTAGTAAAAATCCGGAAAGCCTTCTTTTCTAGGGGACGCGCTGCTCGAAGTTTTGCTAATTAAGAGAGTTGGATAAAATTTGACTTTGGAAAGTCAAGATTGTTTTCAGATTCAGTATTTAGCTTTGTATAAATTTTGGAAAACTATTTTTTCTACGGGAAGTGTTATCCAAATTTCTACAGATCTAAAGAGTTAGCTAAATTTTGTCTTTGCAAGAACTCTAGTTTTATTTTCGAGTTCTTATCTGACTTAGTATAAATCTGGGAAGTATATTTTTTTAAAGGAGATGCTTCCCTAATTGTTACTAATTCAGAGAGTTGTACAAAATTTGACTTTCCAGAGTTAGAGAGTATTTCAGTTTTCATATTCAGACGAGTATAAATTTTGAAAAGACACTTTTCCTACTGGAAGCGCTGCCGAAATTTTCTTAGTCTAAAGAAATATTTTGGCAGGTGGCGATTTTGTCGAGCCACCCTGTATAGGGGAGATTATGACAAGGTATACCTTTCTTTGGGCACTGACTTAGAGGTAGACTTAGACTTAGTTATCAGAAGAATCTCGAGTGAAAATGTGTTATGGGTATTCGTTCTCCATACACTGATAGTCTAGCCTTGGGCACTGGCCTATTTTGTGCTACAGACCTTCTTTGGACGTTTCGATCAAAGATTGGACTAGATTCAGCTTGGCCCCATGAGGATCGTTTTCTGTTATCACTGATAACAGGTCCATTGTCGATTTGTCGGTTTACGACTCAACTCCAATTTACTATCGCGCTACTCAACCTAAAGGCTTTAGCCCCTATGGTTGAATGGTTTCGTTGGATTTTCACCAGGACTTTATTGAATGGTCATTTAACAAAGATACAGAGTACTTTATTGCGGGAAGGTTGGGCAAAGGGTGAGGCTTGTATGGCTAAAGCGAGGGGTATGAGCACTAAGAGTGTTTGAAGTTGACCCCGTGTAGTGCATGGGCTTTGGTTGAATCTTTGATGTGATTGCAGGTATATTTTGTGGTTTGGATTCTGGATTTGTCTGCATGCGATCTCATATATATAGTTAAAGAAAATCCCACTATGATTGTGAGAAGTGATCGTCTCATATTTATAATCCTTAATATATGTATATATATATATCCACATATATCCACATATATATATATATACTTTGAGTGTCCGCGAGGTCTGTTGCGATCGTGCGTAAGAGTTAAACAGATTATGCCCTGAGAGAAAGGGGAGACCCCTTTTTTTTTTGTACTTTTGTATTCTTAGCTAGGCTGCCAGCTGTCCGATTGGGAGACGTCTTCCCTGGAAGTTTTCGGGAGACGGTCAAGGGGGAGTTGTCCAGAAAATCGGACAACTGCATTTTTGGCATCAGGCTGTTCCGAGCAAAACCAAAAAAAAAAATTCAGATTGGGTGAGGGAGGTGTGATGGTGGGGTCTTGGGGGGGGTGGATTGCTTGGGGAGTTGAAATTGAGGGTTTGCTACTGCAGTCAGCAAATGCTGCACATGCAGCAACTGCAGTTGCTTCGTCTGATGCAGCGTGTTGACCATCCGCTCCGGCAGATGCAGCAGCTGCAGTGACAGAGGCATCCACACACACACACACACACACACACACACACACACACACACACACACACACACACACACACACACACAC